TTTTTTACACTTTAACTATAAAAGGTTTTTGTAGTCTAGTCTAAAGCTGCAGTGTAGGCAGTTTAGCATTTTACATTCTATAAGTTCTTCTTTTAGGATGTTATCTTCTGCTTTATTTATTTATGTTTATTTTAGCTACTACCTAGCTAAATGCTTAGTAGGCTAGTGTTTTATACAGTACCTGTTTATACATAGGTGCTATAGGAACAAGCAATTCTTTAGATTTATATAGACAGGTACAAGTTACACTTATGTCTACTATAAGTATTTTTTAGTTTTTATAATATAAAGCAGATGTTTTTTATAGCAGCAGTAAAATTCTTTATACTGTTTACTTTTAAAAAGAATGTAGTACTAGTTAAGCTGTCTTATTTCTAGCTCTTTTCTAGTTATTACTAGTGCTAAGGGCAGGGTCTTAGACCTCTTCTAGCAGAGGTTAAGCGTCTGCAATGCTGTAGGTAGCTACTTAAAGCCTTCTCTTTTCTAAAAGATGTTCTAGAAGAAATTTTATTAGTTCTCTTTATTTAAGATGCTTTAATGTACCTTTATAATATTTAATATTACTTTATATATCTTTGTATTATTATTAATAGGTGCCTTTTAATATAGTATTTTATAATACTAGTGTTTATAATATTCTCTACCTTTCTAGCACTAGCTATTCTAGAACTGTTAGGCTAGCTTCTTTACTAGTGTGCCTATTATAGGCTGTGCTAAGGGGAATCATTTCTCTTCTTTTCTTACATTTTGTATGTAGTTTACAACCTGTGTTAAGTAGCATACTCTTTTATAAATTACTACTTTTTGAAGCGCTAAATCAATGTTATAGCTATCTTAAACTTTTACTTTTTAATAACTTATAAAGTAATTTATTAGTTTATAGTTTATTCTACACTTTTAATAAAGTCTTTTATTAAGCCTAGTATAGATTTTATCTATTATTAGGCTTCTTTTTATGCTTATAGCTTTTATTATAGATTCTAAATTTTTATTCTGTAGAGTTCTAAAGTCTAGGCATTTTTAATAAAAGTGTCTTACTTTTTTATAATTTAAGTAGGCTTTTCTTTTAAGCTTGTTTTTTTATTTTTATACTAAGAAAAGTTTATTTTTAATTTTTTTTAATAGCTTTTACTTTACTAAGACTTATAAGTTTTTTTTATAAAGTACTTTTTTTTTAAAGATCTAGATAGATTTTTAATTAGTGTTTTTTTTCTTTTAATTTAAAATTCTGTTCTTAGTGTCTGTTATTATAGATAGTTGCTAATTTAATCAACTTCTTTAGTTTTTTTAGTTTATTAATATGCTTAAATTTATTTTTAATTTAGTCTTAAAGTTTTTTATAGAACATGTAGTAAAGAGCTCTTTAGTTAGTCTAACTATATATAGCTTATTATTTGCAAAATTATGCTGTATACTGCTATACTATTTCTTTTTTTTACTAAAAGTTATTTATTTTATTTATAGCTAACGTACCTAACAGGTTGGCCGGCCACACAGGTTAGCCAGCTACTTTTGCTAAGCCCCTACTAAACTCTACCTATCTACATAATGCCTTAACAACAACACTAGATTAAATCTTCTAAAGAATGTTAGATACAGCTTACTTTTTAGGCTTTTAAATAAGACTTAAAACTTTTCTTATAACATGCTGTAGCTATTTATAATGTCTCTTACATAACACTAAGTAATTAACGCGCTAGACAGCCTTTACAAGCAGAATACTAGCCTAAATTAAGGAATCTAACTAAGCTTAAAAAGAAGGTAGTTATTAAGTACATACTTAAGCTTATTACACGCAGATTTTCTTTTAAGCTTATAGCTATAGCTAATATAGCTAATTTCTTACCTGTAGAGTGTAATCTAGGCAAGGTTAGCTTAAACTAGCCTAGTATGTAGGTTAAGCACTGCCCTAAGTTTATAATAAAGTTTAATTATAAGTATAATTATAAAAAAGTACTTTATAAGAATCTAGAGGTTATCTAGAGCTAGTTTTGCCTAGTAGCTAACATAAAAGCTAAGTATAGTATCTAGAATAAAGACACATATAACTTTAATAAGTTAAGCTTTATAATAGGCTAGATATTAACTAGAGCAGTTATTATAGCTTTAAAAAGACAAAGACAGCTAAAGATAATATAGTAAGGTAATAAAAAGTAGATAATAGTTATTTAGAGCATTAATATAATAAAGTAGGCTATAAGATTATAAAGCTTTAAGCAGTAAATAAGGCTACTACATAACATAAATTACATAAAAGAAAGTAGATTTAGGTAAAAAAGACTTTAATAGTTAAGAATAAAGCTTATCTAACTACTTTAAAGGAGTTTAGAGCGTGTAGTAATAAAAAGAAGCTAAAGACGCAGGTGTGCACTAAAGAAAGTAAGCTAAGTTAAAAGCAATATAGGCAGTGTAATTAGACTAGGCATAACTTGCGTACATGTAAGTAAGTAGTAAAAGTAGACTCTAAATAATATCTTATGTTGTATTACTCTATATAGGGCTAAAGTAGGCTGTTTTGCGAGAGAATAGAGTAGTTTTAGTAGGGGCTTAGCAAAAGTGGCCGGCTAACCTGTGTGGCTAGCTAACCTGTTAGGTACGTTATTTTTTTTTTACTTATTTATAAATAGTTTTTAGAGCTTTTTTAAATTTGTTAATATTTTTAAAGATTTATTAGGTCTAGTTATGTAGTTAGGCCTCTGTTCTCTTAAACTAGTTCTAATTATCTGCATAGAGCTAGAACTATATAGCTAGAGTTTTTTTAGGTAGAGGCTTATTTACTTAACTATTTTCTTATTTGTTTAAAAGGCTTCTAGGTTATAGCTTATATAAAGCTAATAATAAGTAAAAAAAAGTTTTAAGTTTCTAAAGTTACTAATAAAAAGTTTTAAAAGTGCTAAGTATAAAAACCTTTTTACTAAAGTGTTTATTTACTTATTAAGCTAATAGTAAAAGGTAGTAAGTTTAACTTATAAGTTTACTACCTACTTTATAAGTTTTACTTTAGAGGTTATTAGGTTTATAGTTAATCTTAATAAGGTAGCTCTTATTATAAACATATTTTTAAGAATAAGAGAAATAAGATTCATACTTTATTAAAAAGTAGTAATTAATGTTATAATTTTTACTTTAAGAAAATAGTCTTTAAAGTACGCAGAGCTAAAAAAATAAAAAAAAATAAAAGAAGAGATTTTTTAAAACAAGAGACTAGGCTAGCAATAGGTGTACAGTCTGCGCGGCGTTTGTTAAGAGGATAGAAGAGGTAAGCTAACTGTAGTTTGCTCTTTAATAGCAGTATAAGGTGCTTAGGTTAAACAGTTCTAGTTAGAACAAAATAAAGGTATATATAGTATAAGATATATAATTAGTATTACTTTTATTATAAAGTAGTAATACTACTTAGTTTATATAATAATAAACTAGACTAAACTTTAATTATAACTTTTTTATAATAGTTAAGATCTAAACTATATACATAAAGTTCTAAGGTTTAAAGGTTGTAGTGTTGTCAGATTGAAGCACTGTTTCTAGGCTTCCTGAGATGAATGATGGGTTTGGATATGATGTATGGGATGATTATTCATTGTGTTGATTTATCGATCCTTTTTCTGCTCTACTCGTGTTGCTCGGCTTTTTGTTTTGCCGATCCGAGTCCCTCGCGCACTTGCCCTATGCGCGACCAGCTTGCAACATGCTGCAATTTGTTGCAGAATATTGCAAAATGCTGCAACATGCTGCAATTTGCTGCAACATGCTGCAATTTGCTGCAACATGCTGCAAAATGCTGCAAAATGCTGCAACATGCAGCAATTTGCAGCAACATACTGTTCGAGCTTATTGCTCGTACTATGTAGCAGCTTTCGTCAAACGTTCCTCCTGTCTTGACAGTAGGTGCGCATATCTGACAAGTGTGATGTAAGCGCTTACCTACTGCAGCGCGCATTACCGCTTACAACACTTAAATATCCTCTTCTTATTAGACACTATATTTAGCTGTGCACTAGTCTAATAAGTCTGTCTATTTGTTGTCTGTTAGGTCTTGTAACTTAACAGGTAGGGTGATAAGAGGATTCTAGCCTTGTTTGTTCAAACAGTGGGGCATCTATAGGTGGTGGCTTACGGTCCAATCGTGGGTCGTAACAGTAGTTAGTTAAAACTAATAATTAATTAGCCTAATTTAGTGTTTTCTTTGTACATAGATTTATAAAGTAATATAAACTTAAAACTTTTTAAAAAGGTAAGTAGCTATCTATATATATGTAACGCTTTTATAAAAAGCCTAAGTAGAAAGAGCTAGTACAGGTTAAAGTTAATCTTAGAACGTTCTTCTATGTCGCTACTATACTAGTAAGCACTTTTACAATGTAACTATTTAGAAGACGCTTACTAGGCATTATAAAATTAATATGTATAAACATGTATAAACATGTATAAAATAATTATAAAGTTGTTAGTAGCTAAATGCTATAATTAGAGATGTATAGGTGCGGGGTAAAGAATTTTTAAATTAGCAATTAGTTTTTTCCCTTTACTAGCTAACAGTCCGCTGTACCCCAGTCCAATCCAAGGGTATAAGCCAAATCGCCAAGCATTGTTGCATGTGGGCAGTCACTTTCATCTATTTTATTGCTAGCGTGACATCCGCAGTGTCCGTCCATACCCTCGCCGCAATGAAATCCGCGGGACACGCATTCTCACATGAGAATGCATTCATGCCTAGCTGATAGTAGCTGGGGGAATGCTTTGTCCAATTAGACATCCGTGAAGGGAATATGTATCAAGGATTCTGCACAGCTGGTTCCCCCAATGTCAACGGCGTAGTCTGAGGTGGCTCAGCGCGGCAAACGGGCAGATGTCCCACCGACGGGTAACACCGCAATCTACCTGCGCATTTACAACACGGAGTTCTCTTGACCCGTTGGCCAGAGAGTTAACTACATCTTCTTTAATTCTCACTATTCGGGTCCGAAACCTTCTCACTTGCTCCAACGCCGCAGTGGAGTCTTCCTTCTCTATCCGCTCACAGCTCGCAGCATGGGTCCCAAACCAAGGTTCAACGATCCGCTAGAGGCGTCTTCTTACTTCCATCCCATTGGTACCAATCCCTACCAACATCTTCGCAAAAGGCTTGTCGAACAAATCATTGCACAGGGCTACGATTATGACACCCTCACCGAGATCCCCGTGGACTGGTCCAACGACCAAGACACCAATGGCCACATATCAAATCCTGTATACGGACGATACGCTAGTACGGGCAATGTCCGATTGTTCGAGTCGTTTGCGTCCACTATCGGAGATATATCCAGGGAGATGTTGTCTGGAAAAGAGATTGGTCCGCTGTTGAAGGGGTATCATTACGATTTGAAACGCCCTGCTAGCTACCCGGACGCAGTGATAGTCGGCAATCGCCTTTCCAAGCTTCTTGCAGATCGTTATTTCACGACGACCACCATCTGGTCGCTACGTCAGCAATGCGTTGTCGCTGAGCTACGAGGCTGGATTGTGTTTGTGGACCCAGCAACAGGAAGACCGGTTGACTTGGTGGAGAAGGGGGAACCTTATGCTACCTTGTGGAAACATATTGAGGAAAAAGTGGAGCGCGCCAACACACTATTAGGGAAATGGAACACCGAACATCGGCCTCGCGAGAAGTTGTAAAAAGTCCAGCACCGCTTCCCAGCAGCATGTCAACGCCACGCATACAGATGCTGGGCATGAAATACATCAGTTCCGTTTTCCTAGGTGTGGGAATTTCACTGGGTTACAGTTTCAGCAACTCTAACCTGGATTGCAATCCTCCATGGTTCTATAACACATACTCTCAGGTGTGTCTTACCGGCCTCTCTAATTTGTGCTTGACTTCGACGGAGTTTGTGAGATAGCAATATATAATCCCTGCGAAAAGGTGCTACGCTAGTTAGGTCAGTCTGTGGCTCTGTGGCACAGCCGCTCTATATTGATTGAAATGATAGGGGCGTAGGGCTTCGCAGCCGTGTACTAACAATTCCAAAAATGATACCACCGAACCGAAAGCGGTCAATCCAAGGGTGTTGTCTTGAAGCCTCCTCACTTACTGGGAGAGCTTCGCTTTCCCAAGCCATCGCTTATCCTCACATACCACACAGAACCTCGAGTGAATACAGAGAATCTAAAGTGAATATGGGGGAGCATGAAATGCAGAAGGTCATGAACGAAGAGAACGAAAATACAGCAACTGTGAGTTTTGAGGGCACTGGCGGTCCTCTTATCAACAATGCTCCCAACTGCTACCTTTCAGGTTGGAGACTGCACTGCACGACGCTGGGAATTGTGCTGTCACTACTCTTGGCGAATCTTGAAGTTACTATTGTAGGAACATCTCTTGTTGCTATTGCAAATGATCTTCAAGGCTTCAGTGAGACGAGCTGGATTGTTAGCGGATATTTGGTGACATACATGGGTACATCACATCTCTCTGTCCATACCCTAATTGCAGAAGTCATAGCTGATGCCAAATTGAAGGGTTCAACATTGTATGGGGCAAGCTGAGCGACATCTTTGGCCGGAAAAGTATGTTCATCTTGAGCATGACCATTTTCACAGTCTGGTCTGCTGGTTGCGGAGCGTCACGAACAATGAATCAACTGTGCGTTACCCTTTTCATACGCCTGCTGCTTTTTCTGACAAGTTTCTTTTCTAGTATCATCTGTCGCGCATTCCAAGGCATCGGTGGTGCTGGTTGCTATTCACTCGCCACCGTTCTAACATACGAATTCGTACCCCAGGACAAACTTGGCATGTACGGTGCTTTGAACTCGATGTCAGTAGCGCTTGCTACGCTAATGGGACCATTGTTCGGTGGCGTCATCAATAATCACACTACCTGGCGCTGGATCTTCTATCTCAATATTCCCGCTGGAGCCTTCGTTATAGCCGTTCTATTTATCGGCATTCCCAACGGATTTCCACACCATAATTCTCCCCAGGACAGATCCAGAAAACTGAAAGGACTTAAGGTATTGCAGAGAGTCGATGTGTTTGGCCTTATCATGCTCCTCGCAGGGTCTCTTCTGCTCTCCGCCGTTCTCCTTGAGTACTCTCTACGAAATGGGTGGTCAAGCCTAGGCTCAGTTCTCCTCCTAATATTTGCAATTATTAGCTGGATTGTGTTCCTAGGATGGGAGTGGTACATTGCAGTGGGAGGCACTAAGACAGAAGCGCTGTTTCCTTGGGAGTTCATGCAGGACCGACCTTGGATGGGGATTCTTCTGTCAACGTTCCTCTGCGGAATGCCATTCAATGTACTCGTCGTATTCGTGCCGCAGAGATTACAGACCGTTTCGGGATTCAGCGCGTTAGGGGCTGGGGAGCGCTTGCTTCCATATACCTTTAGCGCCGCATTGGGAGCTGCGCTTGCGATGATTATGGGCTCGAAGAGACGTCTTGCTGTCGTCTATATTTTCATAATCGGAGCCTCATTACAGACGACAGGAACGGCACTTCTGACAACCCTCCCAAGCACTAGCGAGTGGCCGGTCCGGGCATACGGATTTCTTGTTATTGCCGGGGTGGGATTGGGAGTCTCATTTGGAATCAGCATTTTGGCAACGCCCTTCGTCGTTGCTCCGAAGAACATTGGTATGTTAACTTGCATTAGGCACTGCAAAAATTTCCCGTTACAGTTGTACAAGCCTACTAACTAAGTTGTTTAGCTGTTGCCGGTGGCTCGCTCATCCAATTCCGTTTTCTTGGTGGAATGGTTGGGCTTGCCATTGTCTCTAACGTGTTCAACTCACGACTTCAGGACAGGCTCAGGGGATTAATCAGTCCTCAACAGCTACTCGCATTAGACCAAGATGTTTCAGTGCTTGGGACGTTCGCCCCGGATCTCAAAAGCAAAGTTCTTTCGGTTTTTGCTCAAGAATACAATTACCAGAACAAAATACTTACTGCATTTGTCGCTGCCCAGGTGCTGGCCGCGGGAATGGTCTGGAATAGGCGCTGGTCAAAGTTGGGATGAAGGATAGCTGGGTGTGAGTGTTGGTATAGGTAATAGCAGATAAAGTGGAAGTGCGGGGCCCGGACATCTAACTTGACGAATATTGGCGGCGGTTAATTGATTGTTAGTGTGCACCTTTGCGCTGGGGAGTAGATGCATAATGAGCCGTTGCCCTGGAATTATGTCATACGATGATGCTATGCAAGAATCGAAAGGTTTTACCGAACTTCATAGGTGCTAACGCCATCCTGATTATCACCAACGCGGCCGTTCCCGCCCCCAGTTTCCCGAAATTCAAGGCGCTAATGCTGTCTAATGACCCCCGACGCAGCCTTTCCAGTCCCTAGTTACCCGCCCCTACCATATTATATCTAGAGCAAGAAAAATTATGCAGATGGAATCGAATATTCCGGTCGTGATATGCCAGAATGCGAGGATCCTGATTACGCATCCTCTGTCTTCGGGATCCAGGCCAGAGTTGGCAACAATTAAGTCAATCAAGTTGGGGTGAATTGCTTAATTAATTAACAGATCTAGCACGTTTTAATTAACTTAATTAACTTAATAGCACAAATAAGGCTTAACTTAATTAACTTAATTAACTTAATTAATAGATTACATAGTAAATTAACTGCCTTATATCTTATAAATAGTCTCTAGGTCTTTAGGAGAGATAGCGTCACTACATAGACTTTTTGCTAACTTTGTAGGCTTTAAGCTAAGGCGCTTCTAAACCTATTGCTGTAATAAGTTTAAGCGCTAGATAATTAAGTTACCTGTACTAAAGGAGTCCCTGTTTGCGCGCAATTAGGCAGGTGTTGTCACCTTGTAGGGCAGCTCTCATAAAATCTAACTGGCTCCTAGCTGGCCCTGTACGTGCCTTCTTTAGCGGAGGCTCTAGAGTACTGACAGGAGAGGCGGCGTCTTTAAACTCTGCCCACAAGCGTTAAAAGCTAAGGTGGCAGTCGTCTAGCCAGCCTTTGTATACGTGGTAGAGGCAGGTAAGTTGGTGGGCAGTAGAAGTTGAGGAATTTTAGATATATAGCGCTAAGCCTAGTTAGGCAACTATCACAACTCTAAAGTCCCTTAAAGCTAAGCTGCCTTATACTATATTTACTACTCCTGCACACTAAAGGATCCTGTATCCCCTAGTAAACCTAAGATCCTAGGGATTTAAGTCTATTAATTAAGTTAATTAAGCAGGCATAATTTGCTTAATTAACTTAGTAAATTTTGCCTAGCTAATTAACTTAATTAACAGCTATTAATTAAGTTAATTAAGTTAAGTTATTAAGTCAACTTGATTGTTGCCAACTCTAATCCAGGCTGCTACACTGCTTGGATGAACGAGGGAAGGTACCTTGATCAGACATGTTTCTGTGCACTGAAGCCCTGGCCCTTCAAAACAACCAATTCACTTCGCCACATTCTTAGACCAGAAAAGGAATCTACCAGGAATGAACCATGGAATCCGTCTTTCACAATCGCCATCGGGGAACAACAATTCCTCGGCATTACCGATCCTCTTTCGTTGGGCACTCATTTCCTACTCCACTCCTCTTCGGCCCTATCAAGTGTCCTCTTTATTGCCTTCCCAACTTCCAAGACTGCATCCCTTGCCTTTCCTCCTGGGATGACATGCCCGGTGCGTATCATCGTTATCGCCCCATATGTGCGCGGTCGGCATGGTGATCTTGACCCCATCCGTTTCACCGTCCATGAACCGGAGCTCTCCATTCCTAAGACTTTCGGGGTTCACCGGGCGGGCCGCGGAAAAGAAAATTGCGCATTTGAAGGGGGGCTGTGCGTTCAGGACCGCTTTCTCGACGATGTAGGTTGCTATGAATCCGGCACCATGTGAGTATGCGATCACGCCATCGAATGGCCCTTCCAGGCTAATAAAAGTGTCTAGTTGTACAAGCGCTTGTAACATGGACCTGGCGTCATTGACATCGAAATAGTTATACGTTTTGGTGGTAATGGGGTACTAGGGTTGAAGTTCTGGGGCCAGTGGAGATGGGATAACGCCTTCAAGAAATTCGTAGGTATGTGCAGTCCCAAGTTCGTACCTGAGGGATACAGTTTGCGTGGAGAATATCTACAGCAGGATTAATATTCAATAGTGCAAAACAAGATGGGGCCGCAGAACCTCACTGTTAGTTCCTAACCCGTGAAGGCATAAAAACCTCATTGTGTCGAAAGGAGGGAGCCAAAGACAGTGATCTGAATAGTGTTGGCCGCTACTTGATCTCCGTAATAATATAAGAAGAACAGCTTGAGGCAACAGGATGCAATATAACAATGATCCGAAATGGATTTGGGGGCAAAAGTTGCCCAAACGATGAGGGGTTAGAAACAGTGGTTGTCCGAAGTGCAGAACAGGTCTATCTGCCGATACAAGGTAAAACTGACGTCAACGTCCGGTTGAAATCGGGGGGGTGACATTCCGGTATCGTGACGAGCCATCACCGGAGAGGCTCCCTTCGAAGCTCCACACAATACAAGTGAAATAGTCCTAAAGATGAATCCAAGAACTATGGCCTGAAGTCGGCCAATAGTTTGTCACCAGCAACTAGTTTTCACTATGGAACATGGGTTTGGTTTGATACAAAACGCACATAGAACAACCTGGAGGAGATTGTTGGATGAAAGAACGCCAAAAGCTTATCATTACTATACAAGACCTCCGATTTGAGCACTAGTAACAGAATATTTAATGGCTGTGTCCGAGTCATGATAAAAACCTTGTATTATCCGGTATTTGCGATCCGACACCTGTCCGAGGCCCTTGCCCGCCGGGGGCTCGTATTTGCACACTGCGGTTGCAATGTGGCCATGTAAGAATAAGATGCTTCCCTGTTCCACGAACACATGCATCGTCATCCTTTCATGCCCTGGTTTTTTCCTGGTAGTTGAGATTGCCTAAGCGTATTTTGTGGCTCCATTCATCGATCACAGGCCTGTCGACCACCTTTCTGTTGCCAATGGCATCACTTTTTGCAGAGCACACTCCTCGAAGGGAGATTTCTGATAGCAGCGGCCGGGACCCCGTTGCAGTCGTTGGTTTTTCTTTTCAATTCCCAGGAGGTTGCGACACTGCAAATGCCTTCTGGCAGACATTGGTAGAGAAGAGAAACACAGGAACCGAGGCACCGAAGGAAAGGTATAGTTCTGAGAGTCTTTTTCATCCTGATACTACACGGAGGGGAACAGTTGGCTTTCGAGGAGGCCATTTCCTTTCCTGTGACGTGGCTAAATTTGATGCGCCATTTTTCAACATTTCAGATACCGAAGCAGCGGCATTGGATCCACAGCAGCGCATGCTTCTCGAGACCGCATTCAGAGCCCTGGAAAATGGTAGGCTCTCAGCATGTTTCAACTTGTCCGTCCGCATGCTAATATACTACCCTCTAGCGGGGCAGGTCATTGATCGAGTCGTTGGATCGAACACATCCGTCTTCACTGGCTGCTTTTGCGATGACTGGAAGTTTTTGTCCACGAAGGACGCCGAGCAGTGTGCAAGCCATACCGCTCTCGGGGTCACTTCCTCCATGCTTGCAAACCGACTAAGTTGGTTCTTCAATCTGAAAGGCTCAAGCAGTTTGATGGCGATTGATTTGGCCTGCAAGAGTTTAGTCAGCAGGAATGCTGACATGGTAAGTATCGTGACCTAGAGGTGTCTACTGGTGAGGCCAGGTGACTCACGTTTTGCAGAGCCTCGCTGCGGGATGTAATCTCTTGGTGTATCCGGACAATATCCATACGCTTTCGAATTTGGGTCTCTTATCACCTGATAGCCAGTCATATCCCTTTGACAACCGTGCAAATGGTTATGCACGTGGTGATGGCTTCGGCGTTCTAGTACTGAAGCGACGCAGCGATGCCATTGCCAACAATGACATCATTCGTGCTGTTATTCGGGGAACAGGATCAAATCAGGACGGTTATACCACCTCCATCACCCATCCCAGCGGAAACGCGCAGGCCGAGTTGATTATGTCGACGTACTCTCGTGCTGGCTTGTCGCTCTCCAAGACAAGGTTCGTCGAAGCTCATGGCACAGGTACTCCCATAGGTGACCCAATCGAGCTCAATGCCATTGGGACGACCTTCAAATCACACCGCTCCCCTGACGAGCCACTCTATGTGTAAGCTACTACCCTAATCGTCCTAACTCTTAGATTACTCTTATTAATATGATTACAGCGGAGGCGTCAAAAGTAACATCGGTCATTTAGGGGGAGCTAGTGGCATTGCTGGTGTGATCAAAACAATTCTCGTCCTTGAGAAGGGCGTGATACCTCCCAATGCGAACTTTGTCACACTCAACCCCGAGATTGATCTCGATTTTCTGCGCATCCGACTCCCTCAAGTGCCGACCACATGGCCATCAAAAGGCCTCCGTCGCGCCTCCGTTAACTCGTTTGGGTTCGCGGGCTCTAATTCCCACATTATTCTCGATGATGCGTATCATTACCTCCTTGAAGCAGGACTGGAGGGAAACCACAATACCGTTTGTGATCCAGAAACTCCTGTAGTGGAGCGATTCCAAATAGGCGTGAATGGCCATTCTCCACAGAAATCGTCTGCGTATGCGGTAAAAGACGTCTTATCCACACCCGCATCTCTCCCTAGGCTTCTAGTTCTTTCCGCCAGCGATAAGGCTACTTTAATGTCCCAAATCAAGGCTCACACCAGATTTCTCCGAAACACAGATGCAGAGCACTCGCTGACTGTTGAATTTCTTCATGACCTGAGTTACACTTTAAATGAGCGACGAAATATTTTTACCTGGAGGTCTGCTGCCGTTGTTGATTCACCCGAACAGATTCAATGCCTAGAATCACTCCTTTCGAACCCCCAGAGGTCCCTCGATGAGCCTGCGCTGTGCTTTGTTTTTGCAGGCCAAGGAGCGCAGTATGCCGGTGACCAGCTAAGATTCTTTGAGAAATTCGACATTTTCCGAGACCGGCTCACGAAAGCTGAAGAATACTTGCTGGAACTCGGCTGCAAGTGGAGAGTCCGATGTAAGCTCATGTACAAATCCAGTCCAAACTGTATAGCACTAAGAAAAGTAGACGAACTTTTCAAGCCCAAAAAGGAATCTCAAATCGATAACGCGGAGTTCAGTCAGCCTCTTTCGTCAATCGTCCAAATCGCTCTCATAGATCTTCTCCGCAGTTTCGGCGTATACCCAAAAGTAGTGCTCGGTCACTCCTCCGGCGAGATTGCAGCAGCGTTCGTTTTGTCAATCGTGTCGGACTATCCACATTTTTGCTAACTCTTACTCAGGTACTGCCTTGGCGCTATTTCCGCGCACTCCGCCATTAAGCTTGCTTATTTTAGGGGGTACCACGCCGCTAACCTAGTGTTATCTGGAGGTCATCATGGGGCAATGATGGCAGTGTCTCTTTCCGCGCAAGAAATGGAACCTTACCTCAGCGAGCTTGAGTCGGAAACTGGCCGACCCAGGCTAGCAATTGCCTGCATAAACAGCCCTAAAAACGTTACAATATCCGGCGAAAGACACCAAATTGACGATCTCCAGAGGAGGCTCTCGCAACAAGGAGTTTTCTCGCGGAAACTAAAAGTTAACGTGGCCTACCACTCTTCATCAATGCAGACAATATCGGAACAGTATTTCAACTCTATTGGGAGCCTAGAGAAGGGCACTTCACCACCCCATGTTGTCACCATGTTGTCAACTGTGACATGTCAGTGGGTACCAGAACAAAAGTTGCAGCATCCACAGTACTGGGTAAACAATATGCTGCTCCCGGTGCAGTTCTCGGCAGCAGTTGGGAATTTAACGTTCGAACCGCACCGCCAGGTGTGGAAACGGTTAGACTGTAGCCATATGAATCATCCCAAGACAACTTGTTTCCTCGAGGTGGGGTTTCACGGCGCATTAAGAGGTCCATTGCGAGATATTCTGAGCATAGTTCCCGGTGGCTCTAAAGTACTATACGAGACTGTGTTAGTTCGAAATGAACCACCGTTGAGGTCACTATTCGAGAGTCTAGCGCGGTTATTCTGCCATGGATGTACGGTCGACTTTAGGGCTGTTAATGGAGCCAAGGCCGTCCTCTCACGCGCGCCAAAGCTCTTGTGCAACCTTCCAGAGTATGAATTCAACCATTCGAAGGGCTACTGGGAAGAAAATCGCATTAGCAAGAGATATCGACTTCACCCTCAGGGAAAACTAGACCTCCTCGGAAAACCATGCCCTGATTGGAACAAAGCAGAAGCGAAGTGGCGAAACTTCATTCGAGTGTCCGAGATGCCTTGGGTTGAGGACCACGTGGTATGTATTGTAGGCCACCGGAGAGCATCGTGTGACTGATTAAAGTGCAAGATTAATGGAGAAATGATTTATCCGGGAGCTGGAATGCTGGTTATGGCCATTGAAGCGGCCCACCAGATCGCCGAGCCCAACCGCGAAATCGAAGGGTTTGAGTTGAAAGACATTCGATTTCTATCCACTCTCACAATTCCGCGCACATCGAATGGCATTGAAACACATCTCTACCTCCGCGAGGTCAGAGACGTAACTAGTTCAGAAATACCTTGGTCTGAATTCCGACTTTTCTCTTTTGGAAGAGAAGATTGGCATGAAAACTGCCGGGGAGCAATCCGGGTGCAGTACAAGGCTCAGTTTGATGAGAAATCGGGTTCTTTTAATAGGAGGGACAAGAAGGAAGCGATAGAGGCTTATCTGGCCCGCGAATCCACTACTATGGCCTTAGATAGCCACGTATTTGAGCACGAGGGCTTGTATTCCTGCCTGCGGGACAGTGGTTTCCAATTCGGCCCCTCGTTTCAACGGATTCGGAACGGGAGATTCATCGACGAACAGGCTACAGCAGATATCGAGCTCTACGAGTGGCCGCAGGGTGCATTTCCTCAACCACATATAGTCCATCCTTGCTCTTTAGATGCCATGCTACATCTCGCCCTCGCTGCCCTTGCCAAAGGTGGTAGTGCGGCTATCCCAACCGCCGTCCCCAGCTCGTGTAACAACCTCTGGATATCAAAGGACGGACTTTCAACCACCCAGGCGAAATCAGTTCGAACATGTGTCTGGATGGTGGACAGCAACGCACGAGGCAGTGACTACAACCTCTTCGTTCTCGACAATGTGGGGAATAAGGTGTTAGCCCAGGGCGATGGCCTGCGTTTAACGATTGTGTCCAGAAACACTCCCTCGAATGCCGACCAATCCGATGAGAACCAGATCTGCCACCAGCTCCGCTGGAAGCCCGATATAACCTTCATGACCTACGAGCAGTTGGTGTTTTACTGTGAGCAAGCTCGGCTGTTGGAGCTCCCGGTGCAGGAAATTTACGAAGACCTAACATTCGTCGTGGTGACAGCGTTGACCGGGGCCTTGAAAAAGCTGAAAGATGTTGACTTGTCAAGTTTGTCAATTCATCATATGCATTATTTTGAGTGGGCTACTAAACAGCTATCGAGATGCCGAGACGGAACCCTTCCATGCTCGAAACCAGAGTGGTCAGATTTCCAAAGCAATGAGCCTTATCTACTTCAGAAATACCATTATGTAAGCAAAATCAACAATCTCGGTCGGGCAGTAGTCGACACAGCACATGAGTTACCACAGATTCTGCAGGGTCAGACAAGAGCTCTGGCCCATCTCTATAAATCGTTCCTCCGGGGTGTAAACAGCTTCCAGACCTGTTTTTGCGTTCTTGTGCGTTTCTTGGACGCTGTGAGCCATAAAGGGGGGCATTTAAAAATGCTTGAAATAGGCCTAGACCCAGCCACTAGAATGCTAACGGAGCATGAATTTGCTGAATACGCGAAGGTGGACTTCAAAGTTTTTAATGCCAACCAAGATGCCGCGAGCCAGGGTATCGAATCAGGAGGGTACGACATCATATTTGCCGCAAACATTCTCGCCTTTGCTTCCGACGTCGATAACGCATTTCAAAATCTCAGAAACTTGCTTCGAACTGGCGGCCGCCTCATATTATACGAGTGCACTAGACCTAGTGCTCTCCTAAGAACCTTCATTACGAGCCTTTTCCCAGGCTGGGGCACCAGAATCCAGGCGTTAGACAGTGTGGTCTGGGCAACAGCACTTTGTAAGAATGGTTTTGCCGGTATCGATTTAGAGATTCCCGACTTCCCTGCTCCGGAATTCCACGAGAACAGCATCATGATCGCAACGGCTGTCAGCAGGACGAACAGTATAAACGGTATTTCGAAGCGTGTCAGCCAAACTTCCAGGGTTACAATCATCGCGGACCTGCGCTCTGAGTTTCAAAAAGGCATAGTTCACCGCCTTCAATCCATCGTATCGGAGGACTACGGCGTGATGGCATTATCAGAGGCCACGCAAATGGAAGGGATAGGAACCACATCTTTCATCTTTCTTGATGAATTAGAACACGAGTGGCTAATAAACCTCTCGGAGGCGGATTATGCTGCACTAAGGAAGGTTTTGACGACTTGCAAGGCCTCCCTCTGGGTAACGAATGGAGGTGGAGTCGTGCCGCAGAGTCCTGCAAGTGGCGTTGCCCACGGTCTGTTCCGTGTCCTCCGCAGCGAGCGTCCGGAATATCCACTCGCTACGCTAGGGCTCGCAGTGACTGGTTCGATAACCGACAATCAGATAAGCCATATCCACAGGATTTTTCAAAGCATCATCCAGTATAATGATCCCTCAGCACAGGACCAGGAATTTGTCGAATTCGACGGTGTACTTCATATTCCTCGCGTGATAGAGGCAAAGGATATTACCGAAGCCTTCTTCCAGGGCACCCTTAAAAAGCGATCTTCCACCTAGCAAGTAGACACCTGTCCCCCTGTTCGATTGAGCATCGACTCTATAGGGGTTCTGGATACGCTCCATTTCATCGAAGACGATACTTATTGCAAACCACTCCAGCCCGATGAAGTTGAAATACAAATTTCGGCAGCCGGCTTGAATTTCCGTGATATTCTCGTAGCTTTAGGACGTGTACCCGGATCTGAATATGGAAGCGAAGCCGCTGGTGTTGTCTCAAGAGTGGGTTCGCTCTCCTTAGATATCTCTCCTGGAGACCGCGTCGTTGTAGCAGGGGTAACGTTGCGTACATTTGTACGAGCAAAGTCGTACAAGGTGCTAAAAATTGAGGACAATATGACTTTTCCCGAAGCTGCAAGCATACCTACCCAATTCTGCACCGCTTGGCAAGCCATTCACGAGCTAGCACGTATTCAAGAATACGAGTCCATTCTTATTCACACAGGTGCAGGTGGCACTGGACAAGCGGCTATCCAAGTTGCACAATATATTGGTGCAACAATATACACTACTGTAGGTTCAGAAAGCAAGAAACAGCTTCTGATACAAGAGTACGGAATACCAGAGTCCCACATATTCAATAGCAGGGATACCAGCTTTGCTAAGGGTATAATGCGCATAACCAACGGACGTGGCGTCGATGTCATTCTCAATTCCCTCGCTGGTGACAGCCTGATTGCTAGCTGGGAATGTATTGCCCCATATGGCCGCTTCATCGAGCTAGGCAAGAAGGATATTCTGCAGAATTCGAAATTACCGATGCGTATGTTCCACCACAGCACTAGTTTCGTATGCTTAGATGGATTTGGGTTCCACCAAGATCAGCCGAAGGCGTCGAGGAAGATATTCGAGAAGGTGATGTGGATGTTTAGAGAGGGTGTATTGAGACCTGTGAAACCGCTCAACGTTTTCCCGGTAAATAGGGTGGAAGACGCATTTCGGTCGATGCAAGATGGAAGGTCTGCTGGCAAATTTGTGTTGGAGATGGGGAAGAGTATGGAGATAAGGGTATGTGCCCGGCGGAGCTTAGTGCAGGTAAATTTTGACTGACTCACTCCAGGCGACGCTTAGAAATATGCCAACCTTTTCAGTTAATGACCATTCAACATATGTCATTGCAGGTGGACTTGGTGGGCTCGGACGAAACGTTTCGAGGTGGCTTGTTGACCGAGGGGCAAGACATCTCCTCTTGCTATCTCGTTCAGGCGCCAGTACAGAGCCAGGTCAAACACTATTGGGAGAGTTGAAGGCGTGCGGTGTTCAAGTGCAAGCTCCGCTTTGCGATGTGACCAAGTTCGAGCTCATGAAGGGAGTTATTGAAGAATGTTCTCATCAGATGCCCCCCATCAGAGGCTGTGTGCAAGGTTCGATGGTCCTCAGAGTAAGATATCTCTTATAGCCCCTTTAAAATCCAACTAGTTAATATTTGTAGGATTCAACGTTCAATAGAATGCCATATACCGATTGGCGTGCTGGCACCGATTGCAAAACCATAGGTTCGTGGAACCTACATAAGCTGCTCCCTAACAACTTGGACTTTTTCATTATGCTCTCCTCGGCTTCTGGCGTTGTGGGTCTCCATGGACAAGCGAATTATGCCGCAGGAAATGCGTATATGGATGCTCTTGCCCAATACCGAGTTTCCATCGGTCTTCGGGCCACGTCTCTTGACCTTGGCGCGTTGAAGGACGACGGCCTACTTGCAGAGAACCCTGACTTTCTGAACAGAGTTCTCAGCTACGGAGCCCTAAACGGTATCTCCAGAACATACTTCAATGCCATCATGGACTACTATTGTAACCCTTCCCTGCCGCAGCAAACTCCCATGCAAAGCCAACCCATCATCGGTCTCGGTACCGGTGAAGACGGAATCATTAAATCCCGCAATCCCATTTTCTGTAATCTCAAGACTGATCAACATGCTTCTTCCTCCAGCACATCTTCTTCCCCGGATACTCAAGACTGGAGATCTATATTCAAGGCGCCTGCAGACCATGACATTGCTTCTCTCATCACTTCTGCCCTGATTGAAAAACTTTCTAAGACAAATTCTAGTTTGCAAGGCGAAGTCGATGTTGTGAAGCCGTTGGTTGCATATGGTGTAGATTCGTTGCTGGCAGTGGAGCTAAGGAGCTGGATGGCGAGGGAATTTGGGGCGGATGTGGCGCTTTTTGAGATTCAAGGTGTTATGGGGTTTGAAAGATTGGGGAGGGTTGTAGCGGAGAGGAGTACTTTTAGAGAGTGATGGGGAGTATGTAACAGGGACATCGGATGACCCTCAGGGTGCCTTGGGAGATGGTCATTGTGGGCTCAGACAGCACCACCATGACGAGGACTAGGCGCCTGCCAAACATCACTGAGACGCTGGCGCAACAGAGGGCAGAATTCAGTCTTAACGCTTCCTTAGTGATTGCTACGCTGCTATTGCACTTCCCCCTTTTACAGAGTAGTCTTCCATGCCAGTCTTGGGCTGCCTAGTCTCATTGAAAATGGTGTCTCGAGGCACACTCCTCTACCCTAGAAGGTCCTCATGTCCGTTTTTTCCCGATTCTACGCCGCTCTTACTATTGCCCAGCTTCGCCACACCGATGCAGAATTGAAAGCGGTTGTTGTAGCCAAGGCAGTGGCGTAGTAACAATTCCGCCTGAATTAGCCATTGACCCAAAGATCCTTGAAAAGCAAAGACGTTCCGCACAGTTCCAATGAGAATGATGACGCCTATGAGCTGTTGCGGCACGGCTATCATGTGCCTCACCAGCTTCTTAACTTCTTTTATTTAGGTTGGTTTCTCCCCCCAAGTGCCCGCTGGTTTTCCTCAACCTGCTTCTACATCGACTTCCAATGGACCTAAAAGAATTGATCGCTCTATACGACGCCACGGTCTTGACTTGGTTGGGCGTTGTTGCAATTTTTGAGCACATGGATGCTCCCTTAAAAATTAGCCATATCATTTCCACTAATCTATATCTTCCATCTCCTCGCCAATGTCGTCAAGGACTCTCGGTCAATTTACACGAGTTCTTTTAAAACTGTAAGACGAGGTCGATGGACCGCCGAACTGTCTGACGTGGCGACTTCGCCGAATGGCTCACCACCTGATGGCATCGTATGTTTTGTACTTGGGGCACGAATTAACCAGTAAGTACATCTTTCATTTCCCTTGACTTGGTTGGGTCAGGACGGAAAGAAGAACGTATTGTCCTAAACACCTTGTAGTCCTCTTGGAAAAATGGCCCCTGGCCTTCTGGAAATAGCTGGCATGTTTGATGACATGTTCATCGAAGCAACTAAGAATTGAACAAAATGGGGCTGTGAGTGAAGTACCTGCACCTCTTATAATAGATATTGTGGCCTAACTATCTTTGTTTTCTATAAGTCTTGGGGAAAACAAGCGTTCTCATTGATCCTACGGACGACGAAGCAATCAGCATGGCATGGCTGTCCTACTGGACGGACGTTGACGCACTTCAAAAGTTCTCAACCTCAATTAACCACCGTCTTGGCGAGAATGCCTACAAAGCGAACAGGTTCCCGTACATTGGGATCATGCATGAGACGTTTCACGCCCCTAAAGGCTGTTGGGAGAGTGTCTATATTAATATGCCACTATGGGGATTAGGTATGAGCACAACCTCTGCGGTCTTGCACACTGGTGATAGTTTGATATACTAATGAGGCGGCAGGAAGCGCTAAACTTCCGGTAAAAGAGGGGTCGGATGCTATAGGATGCGAAGATGTACTCCAACATATGCTAATTAGATTAGTTAATATTGTTACTAACGTACCTCACAAGCGAGCGCTCTACCCAACTGAGCGCCCTATCAGAACACCGCCGTCACGCCTTCGCAACGCATAGCGCAACACTACAATAATTTATAGTACTCTATAGAACATAATGTTATTATTTTAAAGCTTTGCTACTATATGCATCTTCCATTTGCATTTTAATAGTGTAAAAGTTATGCCTAATTTTACTATAATATCTCTCTCTACAACCCTTTTTTACTACTTTTTTACTGTTGTTACAACTACTATCCTCTATTATAGCTACTAATTTAGCAGTTTTTTTAGTTATTAAAGTTTTTTTTAGTTATAACGTATTCTACTAGTAAGCTAGCTACTTTCTCTTAGCCTTGTAAACGCTATGTACAAAACTCTAATTTATTTACAACTAAATACAGAACTTATATATAATATGCTTATATCTAATTCTAGTGCTTCTTTTTTATCTTTTTTATATATCTAAGCGTTGTGCCTAGTCACTTTATAGTTTCTACAACGCTATATAGCTAGTTAGGCTTTTTCTTAATTACTACTACTACGAGCCTTCCTAGACTGCTAAGTGTTACAATATTTGCTTACTAGGTATGCTGTGCTAATCAGAACAGTCGGATGCAGTAAATACGCGGACTGAGAATATAAGAGAGGGAGAGCAGAATAGAGGATAGACAGAGACCCGGGTGTACAGTCCGCGTCTAAGCCTATGAATAGCGAGGGAGTAGTTAGTCTCTAGGTTTGCCTTTTTCTACTGTATAAAAAGCAAAGGAAACAATCTCTTATACAAGATAATAAAGGAGTTTAGGTAATAGTAAAAGTGTCTTTAAAACCTACTAATACTACTTAGTCTATAAAAGACTAAATGCTAATCATAGCCTTTTAAACAATAGTTAAGATTAAGACTATATACACTTATTTTGCCTACACTGCCTGCACTCCCTGCACTGCAGTTGCTGCAGTTATTACAGTTACTGCAGGCAACATTTGCTAAGAGGTGGATTAGACATGTTCTATTAGAGCCCTTTCTCTGCCTGTCCTTGTCTGCAGAGGTCAGGTAACTCCTGTTATGCTGCTAAAAGGAAATTCTACTATTAGACAATATAGTGCTAAGTAGCTAACTAACACTTGCTTACAGTTTACTTAGAGATTGTAACATGCTGTCCTTTCTTCTAAGCAGCGTCCTTGCCGCACTGTCTATTCTGTTATAAGTGTTTGAAAGTTGTTATATTCTAGTAGATGTTCTTTACTATTATTATTCTATTTTGCATCCCTAACTATGCCTTGTCTGTCTTGTTAGGTGTGTTGTAATTATACTATGCTGTATTTTAACCTGTTATGTTAAACAAAGATGTGTTTTTATAGCCTTTACTAGTCTTTCTTTTTTAAATGCATTCTAACTTTGTTCTCTAAAAAGTGTATAAAGTGTTTATGTAAAGCTACGTGAGGCACTAGAGGCATGAGGAACTGGATTAAATGTATTTCTAGAGGAGTTGTTTGCAGTAATCACACGATAGTCGGATGCGTCGTCACCATGGTCGCATGCGTCGTCACCATGATCGGATGCGTCGTCATCATAGTCGTATACGTCGTCACCATGATCTGTTGCCAAGACTCACCCACTCATTTCGCATGTATATAGACTCCTACAAAGGACTCCTCTAGCAATACACATTCAATGCAGTTCCTCATGTCTCTGGTGCCTCACATAGCTTCACAGGAGTCCTTTGTAGGAGTCTATATATATGCGAAATAAGTGGGTGAGTCTTGGCAACAGACCATGGTGAGATGCATACGACTATGGTGCCGACGCATCCAACCATCGTGTGACGACACATCCGACTATCGTGTGACTATAGTGACGACGCATCCGAGTGTCACCACTGCAAACAGTTTATGTAAAAGAAGTTACTATAATGCTTTTATTTTTAACCTTGTGTAAAAACAACTAGAGCGCAAGCATGTAAAAGTAGTAAAGAAGATAAAGTAAGCTTAGAAGGCTTAGGTTGCTAGCCTTAAAAAGTAAGTTTATGCTGCAACTGCTATAGCATAGGCAGCTACTAAAAAGATATAATTGGAGAAGCAGCTTTTTTTTCTTTAGAGTTAGAGAGTAAAATACCTAGAAAGAGATCTGTTATCTTTAAATAAGATAAAGGCACTAAAAGCTAAAGCTGCTAGTCTTCCTTCTTAGCTAGCGCCTCTAGTGTCTTGTCTACCTACATTGCAGCTATGTAATGCTTCTTCTAGTAGTTTGTCTTTACCTGCTAGTTTTCGTGTTCTTTTACTAGACTAGTTCTTACTATTTAAGCCTTTTAGAAGTAAGCTAGCGCTTTAAAAGTGTTTATAAAGTTTTTAAAAAGTGTTTAAGTATTTTTACTAATAGGCTATCTTTTTTACTTAATTAAGAATTGTGTTCTGTTGTTTCTAGATTATAAAACATGCTTTACTTTATATTCTATTTTTCCTAGTTTTTATCTTATAGTTGCTACTAGAATTCTATTAGAAGCTTTCTCTAGCTTAGAGATATAAACCTATAAATGTATTTTTATTATTAAAGAAAGCTATAAATAGAATTAATTCTTTATTTTTTTATAACTTTATAAACACTAATTTGTTTTTTAAATAGCTTTTTTAAAAGTCTTTTTATAGTAAGGTTTTTAGTTTTAAGGTAGACTTTATTTTTTATATTAATGTTAGGTCTTTTAGTTAGTGTTAGTTTACTTACTTAGTTATTTATTCTTAGGCTAGCTATGTGTGTTATGCTAATTTATAGTGTAAGTTTTTAATTTATATAATTCTTTCTTTTGCTGTTTCTAGTTTATGCAGTTGTAATTCTTATAATAGAAATTATAAGAAATAACTAAAGTTTACTATATATAGAGTCTCTTTAGTAGTTGTTAATTTAGCAGTGTTTAGAGCTAGCTATGTAAGAGGAAGCTATTCTGTCTAGTTGTCTTGTTCTAGATTTACATATTTCTAAAGATATTATAGTATTGTCTAATTAGCTCTTTCCATCTAGCTATTTGTTTACAGATAATAGTCTGTTAATAGCTTATGTGTAATAGTTAGGTGTTTTACTACTACTTGCTAAAACTTACTTATAAAAAGCTTATTCCTATCTAATATAATAGCTTCTAGGCAGCTATGTATAGAGATAACATGTTACTCTAGTTTATATATAAATTTTTTAGCTGTATTAGTTTTCTTAGTTAACTATATGTAAAAGAACTTAGTAGTTTTATCTACTACTACTACTACTGTTATATTACATACTTGCTTTAAACCTAGTTCTTTTGTTAGTTTAAAGCTAGTAATAAAGTCTATTGTTATAATTATCTAAGGTTGCACTAGTGCTAAAATTCTCTATAGTTCTTTGTATAGTTTACGTTATTACACATTGGTTTTATTATAGACATTATATTCTACTAAGACTTCTATGTATAAGGTCTTTATCTTTGCTAGTGCTATTAGGTACATTACTCTAAGTTTCTTAAGTAGTATCCTAATCTTTAGATGTTTAAATAGTAGAGATTTATAGTGTTCTTAAATTAAATTCTTCTACTCTTATTATACTAGTGTTAGTGCTGTAATTAATGTCTTTAGAGTTAGTCTGTTACAAACTAATCTCTTTTCTATATCTCTAACAATTATAAATTTCTTTATTTCTTTTTTATCTTTAGTTATGTAATCTGCCTGTTAACTTAACATGTCTACTTAGTAGTTATTTATTTTTACTATAGGCTTTATTATTAGCTAAGTTCTATAGCTTATTTTACATGTTTTAAGAGTAGCTTCTTAATTATTAGAAAGGTAGTAAGGTTTATATAATCTATATATAGTTTAAAGCGTTGTTTAGTTCCTATTAGTTAATGTAAAGATAGGATGGTAGGTAGCACAGATAGCACTAAGAGCAAGCTTTTAGAGAAAGATAAGAGTGTATTGTAAGAGAGACAAATTGCTGCTAAGTCTTGCTTATTAGGATTTATACTTATATACAAAGCATAGGTTATATAACCTCTAAACAGGTTAGAGGAGGCTATACTAGCCTGTTCTAGGACATCTGGCCTTACATTATCCCCCCTTATAGTAGTCCTACAACTTAGAGGATAGAATAGATAATAATAGGCCTAAGTAGCATAAAAAAGTATTACATAATGCTCTAAAAACTTACTTTTACCTATTTTATATAATTTTATGTAAGTTTATTTAAAAATAACCTAGAGTTATTAAGTAAAGGTAAAGTAAAAGTATAAAGTAAAAGTAAAAGTAAAATAGTAGTATATCTTACACTAATAGAGTAGCAGTTAGGATAGTATATATAGGGTCTAACTATTTTAGAAGTCTATCTTCTTTACACCTCTGCTCTTTTTATAAGTTAGAATTTAGAAAATTTTAAACTTTTTAAGGTAAGTATATTCTAAGCTACTCTAGCATAATTTAGTATAAAGGGGTGCTAACAAGCTTTAATAGTCCTATCCTGTCTTACTTGCGCCTGCCTGTTGCCTAATCTACTCTTAGCTTTTTCTTTTATGCTTAACTTTACTTAATAACTTAAAAATAAACTTTTATAGCCTACTTTATTATAATTTAGCTATAGTTTCTTTTAAAAAAGATTATTTAGTTTTAGCTAATATAAACTTATATTTTAATAACCTTTACGTTTAATATGTTAATAAAATATCTTATAAAGGCATTATAAATAAGAGTAGTAGTTATTATATGCTTCTAAATAATAAGTTATATTATAGTATAAAAGAAAAAGAAATTAAGTATATAAAGTGTGCTTATTACTTTAAATTTAGTAAAAAGTGCTTTAAGGTGCACATTTTAGCTTCATTTAGTGTATTTACGCACAGTCTGCTTATGCTAACCTTAGATAGCTTCTTATATTCTTTAAACCTAAATAATAAGCTTTTAAAAACACTATACTTAACATTTTAGCTTTTATTAATCTACTTAACTTTACTTAGTTAACATAGGCTAATGTAATAGTTATGTTATAAGTAAACACTATTATTTAGTTTTTTTAAGTGTAAGTTTTTTTATTGTAGTATAATCTAGCTTAATTAGCTTTATTTTAGCTCTTAATAGTTTACAGTAAAAATAAAATCTTATATAATAACTATCTATACGCGCATAGTAGTGTTATAGGTAAAATTGCTAAGACTAGAGTTGTTTTTAAGAAGCGCGCCTACTCTAAAGCTAATATTACTAAAAAAAAAAAAGTGTAAAAGGCTTAAAAAGAACTCTAATAAAAATAAAGCTGTAATAACTCTATCTAAAAAAGTAAGTGTGCGCTATTTTTAACTATTCTAGCGCTAACTAGCATAATAAAAGAAATATAGTGTTAAAGGTGTCTATGTTACTAAAGCTAAGTAATATTATTATGTTAATGCTACTAAAGCTGCTAATATAGTCTACTACATCTTTAAAAAGCATAATAAGGCTAATAATATTAGAAATAAGGCTAGTTAGAATTAAACTTTAGCTAAAAAAAAGTAGCTAACTAGGTATAATAAAAAATATCTTAGTAGTTGTTCTGCTATTGTAAATTTACCTATAAAAGGTCTTAATGTCTAATCTGTAACCTTAATAGCACAATCTAGTGGAATCTAGCGCATCCTATAGTAAAAATAGTTAAAAATGTATAGTGTAGTGTAGTTTTAAGTTTTTTAGCTTAAGCTTTTTTTTCTTTTTTTAATAAAGTTAAATGCCTCTAAATTATGTCTCTTAGACTTAAAATATAACTATTTTAGTAGTAATAGATTAATCTGCCTTTAGCTTACTTACTTTATAGCTTATTTATCTTAATAATTCTAGAATGTCTTATTAGACTTAAACTCTGCTTTTTTTTAACTAGTATAGGCTATTCTAAGCTAGAATGTTTGTTTTATCTATATAATAAATTTCTCTAGGCTAAAATAACTCTCTACTTAACTCTAGCAAGCTATTCTGTGCTAGAACAGCCTTACTTAGTCTAAATAAAGAATCTTAGGTCTAAATAGGCTATGTTGTTTTCTTATTCCTATAGTGCTATTAAACACCTCTTATTAAAAAAACCTTAAGTAAGGAAAAAACAAGAGTTAGAGTTAAAGTTAGTTTTTCTTATAATACACTTTTATCTTTCTTTAAAAGCTTGCTCTTAGTGCTATTTATGCTACCTACTATCCTATCTTTATAGTTAAATTCTTTAAATGTATAGTGTGTTTATAATAGCTTTAAGTTTCTTATTTAGAATATTATATTCTAATTTAGCTAGTAAGAATTTGCTAGAGTAGTAGGCAACTAGGTGCTATTGCCTATTCTCTTGTTTCTAGTACAGCGCTGCGCCTTTTGCTTTTGTTAACGCGTCTATTATACTTTTGTTTTAAATACTAGATTAAATATTTTAATAATAAGTTTTTAGCTAATTACTTCTTTAATTTTTTTAAATGCTATGTTTATCTTAGGTGTTTATATAAACTTAGCTTAAGCTCTTTCTTTAAAGGTAGTGTTTATAAAAGGTAGTGCTATTTTTAAGTAGTTCTTTATTATTTAGCAGACGTAGCCTAATATCTTTAGAAATTCTCTTATCATTTTTACATTTTTTAGTTCTAGCTATTCTTTAACAGCTTATAACGTACCTAACAGGTTGGCCGGCCACACAGGTTAGCCGGCTACTTTTGCTAAGCCCCTACTAACCTCTACCTATCTACATAATGCCTTAACAACAACACTAGATTAAATCTTCTAAAGAACATTAGATATAACTTGCTCTTTAAGCTTTTAAATAAGAATTAAAACTTTTTTTATAACACACTATAGCTATCTATAATGTGTCTTACATAACACTAAGTAATTAACGCGCTAGACA